CCACCACACTGTGTAAGAAGAGACGGCTTCTCACGTGCTGTCCCCGATAGTTATTCCCGTGCCACACGGTGCAGTTTTTTGCACCCTGTGGTGGCTCTCGGTGGAATTCTTCTTTCCAGTGCATTTGGCCTGGAGGCCCTGAGTCTTCCCCGGGCCCGGCAAACCCTGGTACAAGGGGCCCGCTTGTGCCAGTAGATAATATACATAGTAGTAGATTGCCTTTGTATACTGCAGTAGATTTACACTTTTCCCCTAGAGAATCGAAAACAATGAAGGATGATCATCAGAATGACCATGAACAGTCAGTTTCGTTTTGAAGCAACTTCATTTGTATACAGCAGTAGATTTACGCTTTTCCCCTAGAGAATCGAAAACAATGAAGGATCATCATCAGAATGGCCATGAACAGTCAGTTTTGTTTTGAAGCAACTTCATTTACACTCAGGCAGCTGACAATTTATGCGTCTGTGTGCCATTTTCTTATCTGTCTTTTCCCCTGTATTTTCCACTCCCCTTGTTCTCTATGGATGTAGGATATGGTGGCAATCTTACTCCGCTGACAATTGATGTGTCTGTGTGCCATTTTCTTATCCGTCTTTTCCCCTGTCCTTTCCACTCCCCTTGTTCTCCATGGCTGTAGGATATGGTGGCGATCTTACTCCGGTGCCTGAGAGCTTCATAACAAATGCGGTTGTCGCTTTGCAGTCAGTTACGAGCTTGCTAGTGGCTTACTCTTTACTTGGGGTTGTCTATGCCAGGTACTTTCAGGGCTCGTTGCCTGCGCCCTTTCCACTGTCATTGCTCAAACCCGTGACCCTGCAGATGGAATGAATAATCCTCGCCTACTCTTCTTTCTTTGTCTTATTATCTCCATCATTGCAGCATAGTATGCTGAAGCTTCTGTTGCTGCCTAGTTGCTTGATATTGCCAAAGACTTATTTATAAACTTAGGGACGTAGTGCTGGGTGTGTGGGGGTCCAAGGTGCCAGTACAAAATGCATCTTTGCCTTTTGTTGGTAAATTAAAGCCAGAACGAGCAACTATGCCAGGTACTTTCAGCGATCGTTGCCTGCGCCCTTTCCGCTGTCATTGCTCAAACCCGTGACCCCGCAGATGGAATGAATAATCCCCGCCTACTCCTCATTCTGTCTTATTATCTCCACCATTGCAGCATAGTATGCTGAAGCTTCTGTTGCTGCCTAGTTGTTTGATAATGCCAAAGATTTATTTATAAACTTAGGGAGGTAGCACAGGGTGTGTGGGGGTCCAAGTGCAAGGAATATGAGTGTGAACGATATACAGAAAACCAATGTTGCGAAATCACACAGATGTCCAGGTAGTCGTATCCAAGCAGAGAGTACAAAATGCACCGAGAAACCATCCATATAGAGCAATACAATGAAGTAATGAGCCAATGTTCAAGCCCAACACAGTATCCAAAGTCGCTCCTCTCTGTCTGGCACCCAGCGTCCAACCTACTCTGCCCGACTATCCTACCTACAGCTGGTTCACACAACAGGCTCACTTCGACTCTCGAAGACCAATGTACATGACTGTCAACGTCATAGCCGACAGCACCAGGTACGTATCTCGTCACCCCCAATCAGACCTTGATTACCCCACGCTGCGCCTCCCTCCCTGAAGACCACCAGATCACCCGCTGCACCCCCTGGCGCCCAGCAGCCCGGCTATGGCCCCCTGTGCCCCGCTCCCCTGCAGCGCCCCACTTCACCACTACGCGCCCGTCAGCGCCCTTGGCAGCAGCGCAGCATCAAGCGATAGCACAGCAGCACTTCCGCATTGCCTGCACTGGCCAGAATCCCTGGCCTGGTGTTCCATACCCAGTTGGGCGATGTACGTATATAGCCAAGGATCCGCATTGTGATGAAAAGGACTGAATGGACAATTCAGTGCTAGTAGAATCTCAACAAGCAGTGTACACCTGATACATACAAAAATGGTGCTTTGTAGCGAAGTGGAAGACTTAGATATAAGTCCTGACCTGCCCGGGACTGACCTCTCTCACGTAGTACAAGACAGTGTACTGGAATGCTAGAATACCAATGACTATCCCAATCGATGTCGCAATGCAGACCAAACATACATCATCCTCATCACAAGGTGTGAAGGGGCCTGGCGCTACACACAGGAAGAATGCGCCAGGTGCAGATCATGCACAGACGAAGAGGAGGGAATCAGACGAAGGAGGAGGGGAGATGGGAATGTTGTCAACACCAAATCTTCGTAACAAGTCCCAAATAGTCCGTCGTCAAATGTCTGAAGCCCAATGCCGAGTCTGCAGCGCTCCTCCAGAGTGCTGCTGCCGAATCCTGAAGACTACCTCCTGCCTCCTGAACTGCACGTGAAGTGCCTGGGAAGTCACTATGAACCACCTGCAGCCTGCAGGGCGGGCCAGTCCTATATAGTGCTGGCCCGTCCAGGAGGCTGCTCTTCCCAATGCCAAAACGTGTCAGACCCTGGCGTTGAAGCTCAACCAAAGGTTGTCTTGAAAACAGGCCCAAAATGGCCTGTGCTAAAACCCTGGTCTGGTGCCTAAGTTTCAGGGCAGGTCGATCTTATGAGGGCCTGAAAATGGCCCTCCGTTTCAGGCTGAAAAGACTCAGGGCTTGGAGGGCCCTGTTTTAGGCTGAAATGACTTTCAGGCTTTCAGCCTGAAAACGACATGGGCCTGAAAATGGCCCGTGCAGCCTGTTGCAGGCGCAGCATGTAACACCTGGACTGCCCTACTCCTTTTGTGGAAGTGGCAGCCTCCTGGATCCTGCGTGTGGCCTGGCTGGAAGCTTCCAGTAGCTTCCGGTTGGGCCTCAGACCCTGCGCCCAGGCCCGAGACTACAGTTGAGGGCCTGGGCCCGTTACAGTTGGGCACGGCCTGAGTCTCCGGACTTGGGCTGTTTGCTGCATCTGTGCAGGGCTCCCAGGCAGATGCTTTGGCAGTACTGTTTTTGCAAAGGCCGATGGCCTGCTTCCCAATGTATCGGTCTTGCTTTTGCAATGAGACTCGCTTTCATTCACACTTCATATGCATGCAAACAGGTTGCGCAGCAAACTGGCGTCAAGCGCCCACTCAGAACTCAGAGATGTGGTAACCAAGAACGCAGCTCAGATACAAGTTCACTTCAAATGGCTATGGCGGCACACCGCCTGTACAACTCTCTGTTCGTCACTCACTCAACGCTGCTGTTCGCACACAGGATCACCCTGGATATCCCACATGCAATACACTGTACACTCTCACGCACACACACGCTCCTCTCTCTCCTATCAGCTATGGCGGCTGTGGCCGCTGCTACCCTATCTCTATGGCTCAGCTTCCTTCTCGCCCACTTCGACTTTGGGCTCACTGCAGACCACCTCGCACAAGTCGCCGTGGCAGCGCTTCCGCATGGCTTACGCAGGACTGAATGAATGGCTGGGCGCTGCCCCTTGATTTATACTTCTGTAATTCGTTGGTCTGCCCCTCTCCACCAGGCTTATGGTGCACACAGTCCCTCATGGTACTTGCTTGACTGGACTGGGACTGCAGGACCGGTACCGTTGACTGCATGGGTTTGCACTGCCAACTCAATGCAGTCGCACTGCCGACGTAATGCAGCTGGGCTCACCACTTGCCCACTTGCCTCTGACTAAAACGTGAGGCAGCTTCGAAAGGCCACTTCCGGACCTTCCGGAAGTCTGTGGACTTGGCCTTTCGAGTACTGTAGTAGCTACGACCTTGACCTTTCAGGATTCCTACAGCTATGACCTCTACAGGGCTGTGACTCCTACTTGACAGATCTACAGATCGAACCCCTACCATTACACAGACCTACGACAGACAACAACAACTCTCAAAACACAGGTCACGGGTTCAAACACTCAAAGTCAACACAGATACTGTACACAGGTAAAGTGAGGACTAGGGATCGAGCCCTGGGACCTGCATCCGCTACTGCTAACAGGTGAATACCGTCTCACTGTGTGTATGTGCCCAGGCGCAACTGTCAAGGCCTGGGCCAACTGTATGACACAGCTTTGTGAGGCTCACGCGTCTATCCAACCAACTGGCGTGCTGCGAGAGCCTGATTACCCACATATGGAAATGTCGATTTTTGCCTCTGACGAATATTCAGGCCCGCCTTCACTTAGGGCGGGCATTCGGCTTGCTGGGGGCCTTAGCCCATAACATATGATGTCTGATAGGGCCCCTTGAGGGCTTGTTCCTCACACAAGGTGCCAGTACAAAATCCATGTTAGCCTATGCTTGGTAAGTTAAAGCCAGAACGAGCAACTATGCCAGGTACTTTCATCGATTGTTGTCTGCGCCCTTTCCGCCGTCATTGCTCAAATCAGTGATGCCGCAGATGGAATGAATAATCCTCGCCTACTCTTCATTATTTGTCTTATTATCTCCACCAGTGCAGCATAGTATGCTGAAGCTTCTGTTGCTGCCTAGTTGCTTGATAATGCGAAAGATTTATTTGTAAACTTGGGTAGGTAGCACCGGGTGTGTGGGGGTCCAAGGTGCTAGTACAAAATCCATGTTAGCCTATTGTTGGTAAATTGAAGACAAGCTGCATTGAAGCATCGATTTTTAAGTTATTATTATCTCATTAGCTTCAGTTCCGGGATAAAATAAAAGAGAAGAAACTCCACTTCCTGACTTCTTTCTACGCTTACCTACCGGTTTTCAGGTTTTCACGACCAACCAGACGGGCAACTACGATTGTTTTTAGCAAGAAAATGGTCATCAACAATGTGAGTTTTCCTGAACCTCACAAGCACTTTTTTCTGTCACTACTAACTTAACTCCTTCATGGACTGTTGTACATTTTATCAACTTTTATGCATCTTTGCTGAGTCCCATGCATTGTTGCATGCCTTTGTCAGAGCGCTCCAAAGTATGGGAAAGGAACCTCTCTAAAGATCGAGTGCACTGAGACTTTTCATCGTGGTCCTCGTTGTCAAGTGATGGCCTTGTCCCAAGCCTACAATAGCAAAGTGAATGTGAACATGGAGACTGAGCAAAATGAAGATTGTGCAAAACGTGTTTAGTTCTTTTTTTTGTGTTGTTGCATGACAATTCTTCATGGGAGAAGCGAGTGCCGTACATGTATGCTTGCAATTTTTTATTAGATTTGATGATTCAGATTGATTGTTTTTCATAGTAAGTAACAGCAGCCACAAATATTCTGAAAAGTGGGGGTGGAGCAGTTGGTAAATCTTCCCAGCCAATGCCGCTGTCTCAGGATATCTCAACCATAATGGAGAGAAGTGTTGGATTTCGTTCCGCTCGATTCTATTGGTGTTGTAATTCCTTTGTTTCTCCACATTTTTTATCTGTTGATAGGGATACATCACTAGGGTGTGCACACACTAAGACTTCTTTGTTCTAAGCTATGGATGTGATTGCGGTCAGATTCATCCACGTCTGGTCGTGATTGCAGCCAGATACATTTAGGAAAGTGCTCGTGTGAGTATGTCCTTTTTTTCCTTCTAAGCTCTGGATGTGATTGCTGTCCGATTCATCCATGTCTGGTCGTGATTGCAGCCAGATACGTTTAGGAAAGTGCTCGTGTGAGTCTGTCCTAAGAGGAAGGACCCTTCTGCGATCAAGCAATTAGCGCCATCTCCAGGACGTTGTGAGGGTTGAAACCACCAGTACTTCCTGAAGTCGTGCCCGCCAACAACTCACATTTTAGGAATTGTACGGGCTACCAAATTCATCCGACTAGAAACGTTTCTACTCTATTTTTTTGTGCGGCCGATAGCTGGGCCAAGCACCGGTGGTTTGAAGGGATCTCATTCCCTTTTTTTTTATTTTTTTTAACCACCTGCAAGTCCAGCTAGGGGTGGTGATACAGGCATTCACCCCTAACTAGCTCGCTGGGGACTCCCATCTATTGGTGGGGGAGCAGCACCTGCTGGAAAACGGGTCCAGCGCCCCATACATATCAATTTGATACGCGAGTCTTGAATAATGCATCAGGCGGATGGATGCCACTTCAGTCCCCTAGGAACCACCGATGTAACAATCAAAACCAGCAACCCTACCCCCTCCGCTGAGATCAACCAAAAACACCACTCAGTCCTCCCCCTTTTACCGCACAATGCCCAAGGTGAGACTGAACTATTGAAAATATGACCACTTGCAGCTGTGATCCATCGATTGCCAAAAATAAGCTGTTGTAACACTTCCTCATATCGAGAGGGGAAAGGTCTATTGTGGTAAGGGTAGGTGGCGCTATGTTTTGAGCATTGAGACCCAGAACTTCCAAAAGTCATCCAAGATAAGATCTCTTCTAGCTGCACCCCTAACTCCTTCTCCTCTGGACTGTGCATGTGCCTTGAGGATGCTCCAAAACCGGTCTTCTAACCAGTTGAGTGGGTGCATATTCCTCATTGAAGAAGGTGCTAGCCTATGAATCTGTTCAACAACTCTTGCCAAGTTTTATCCGTGGATAGTATTAGTTTTTTATCCATTGTAGAGAAAGCTTTATGTTGCAGGGATGGGTCAAGAACCCCCAATCCTCCCTTAGTTCTTGGTTGAATCAAGGACAACCAGACAACTCTTGGCATTACCTTGTCCAACTCATGGTTTTCTCTCCATAAGAATGCTGCTACCTGCCTTCGGAGTGTTTTTGGACCAGAGTGCTGATTTGTACCAAATAGAGGCACAGATGACATTGTTAATGATGAGGGCCCTCCCAAATAGTGAGGTATGTTTATTCTTCCATTGGTTCATTTTTTCCATAGCCGGTTTCGAAATCCACTCATCATTGGTTGTGGGTTTACCTTGAGCTGTTAGAGAGACTCCAAGAACTCGTACTGGAGTATCCAAGGGGACCCTATTAACCCTTGGCTGTTCCAGGGGACGATCCCAACTAGAGTGAATCCACCATCCTTGTGTTTTATTCCCCCAGTTTACTACCATGTCTGAAAGTTGGGAGAATCTGTCCATCAAGGCTTTGATTTCCGCCATATTTGACATTGAAGCCTTCATCATAATGGTGAGGTCATCAGATAGGGTTTGCTTCTTCTGGAATACTAGATATCTGAAGGCGTGTTATATTACGATTTTTCCTAAGGTTAGCCCCTAGAGCCTCCATGATGATTACAGGGGCCAAGGGGTCTCCTTGTCGCACCAACCTTTGAAGCCTCATTGCTGGCGAAAGAAGACCATTTACCTGGATTCCTGTCGTTGCATTCTGATATAGGATTCTAACCCATCTGTGCATGTTAGGACCAAAATTCATCTTTCGAAGACATGCGTCCAGAAAACGCCGATCTACATGATCATAAACCTTTTCGAAGTCAAAAAACACAAATGCTGCATTTTGTTTGGATTGACGAGAAAGCTTAATCATTTTGTTGATTAGGAGAATGTTATCTTCGATATGTCTTCCATTGATAAATCCTGTTTGAGAGGGATTAACTATATCTGTTATAAAAGGAATCATGCGATTTGCCAAAACTTTGGCCAACATCTTGTAATCCACAGTAAGTAGGGTAACGGGTCTGTAATTCCTAATGTTAGTTTTATCACCCTTCTTATACTAGGGTGATATATTGCCCCTAATGTTGCTATTGTAATCTGCTTCGCTATGTCCGTCGTGCAGCCTGGTGCTGCTGAGGGCTTAGCCTCGATGCTGTTGATGCGTGTGATAGTAGATGCCAACAACTGTTGCTGTTGTTGCTGATGTTGTGCTGCTGCGCGGATGGCGGCTGTCAAAGTTGAAGACTCTCTCTGCTGAGTCTGTCTCAGCTGCCGTCCCGTGTGCTCGTGCACTGTCTGCATTGTGTTGTTCCACATAACCGTCCTCATCATACACAGCATCAGTTTAGCCAGGTTACTCCTTTCTGCCTCCGCCGGTGCCGGATCCGCCTGCTCGTCCGTAGGCACAAAGGTCATGCCTTGGAGTGGTGCTGTCCACTGACTCTCAATTTGAATCAAGGACTCAGCGCTGGCGGCGTTCCGCTTGTCTCGAGCCGTTGCGTCAGCCTCAGCAGTCCGCTGAGCTTGGGCTGCCGCCTCATTGGCAAGCCTCTGACGTTCTGCTTCTGCTGCCTCTTGCTCTGCCTTTGCTGTGGCGACGGCATCTGTGAATGCCATCACTCGATGAAGGTAACCTGCCAAAGTTTCGTGGTCCCCTTGGACCGGACAGGCGGGGAGGATCCCTGCGGTGACCGGTACTGCAGCTGCTGCATTGGTACTGGATGCCGCTTGAGTCGTTCTCCTGCTGAGTCGTTGTTGCTGATACTTGGGACATGGAGGTAGCACAGAGTGGCTACGAACTGTGATCCTTTCACTGCGTCGTGGCAGTGCCCCGGTGTCCTGTTCCGTCGACATCACCACGGGCTGATGTGGTACTTGGAGATCTCGGTGGTCACAGACACGGGGAGGGTGGGAACAGGGGTAGAACAGCTCAAATACAGTCCCCTGTCCCAATGTGGACTAGACTACTAGTCAAAAGAAAAAGGTGATCTTTTCCCCCCGAACAATTTAATTTCGAAAATAATGAATAAATAATAAAGAATAAGCTGAGTGGGGATCCGGGCTGCCCGGGTGACCGGCAGGGGCCCGGGGGAGGTCACGGGCAGCCTGGCCGGGCAGGGCACCCGGTTGGGGGTCGGGCCCCCCCAGCGCACTCACCTGTCGGGGGATTTTCGACCCCCTTTCCG